GTACAACAATCTGTAATAATCACCTAAAATACAACAAAGTGTAACATAAATGCTTTAAATCATATGCACAAGTTAAACAATTGCCAAATCACGACTTGTTATTTATTATAACAAGTTGTACTTATGCAGATTTCCATTCATACATGTAACAGCTATTGATCATTTAAGACTTAGGAAAAATTAGACTGGGTCGAGGATACTAGGAGGGTCCGTGTACTTTACGTTCATTCGTTCATTTGACTACGAAAATAAAAAAAGCTTTCCCTTTTTTAATTTAAAACGAAAATAAAAAATTCATTTTTCGTTTTTCAGTGGGAAAAATAAAACCAAGGAAAAGACGAAGAAGTCATTCCTTGTGTTTAATGTTGAAAATGAAAAATAAATAAAAGAAAGTAATCTTCTTGTAAATTAATTTTAAATTTAATCATAATTTCATTTTCCTGCACGTGTCTATTCGAGGAGGCGTCACGGATGTCTGTGAGTACTTTTAAGGATGAAAGTTGCTTTTCAGGGTGCGAAAATTTCCTTGAGAGCTTCCACTTCCCTTAGTTTTGAGAAGCAACGAATGCCTTGTGTTCCTCAGTTCAGCCATGTTTGATTTGGTTGGTTACGAAGACGTTTCTTACATTACAAAATGAGAATGGGACTTCTTTCATCCTTCAGACAGTGTATAAATACTCAATAGATTACGATATTTATTTTCACATTGAAAAACGAAAACACAAATGTGGTTGTCATTTTGAATTTTTAAATGAAAAAGGAGAAACGCCTTGTTTCTCTGTTTTACCACTTTATGTTTTCAAAAATGAGAAACGACTCGTTTTTATCGAAAAAATGAAAATGGCTTTTTTGTAATTTTCAAATAAAAAAAACGAATAAACGAAACATACACAGACTGTTGAGCCTCAGAAGTATGATAATGATTTTGTATTATGACATCTGGGCACCAGAAAACTTTAACAGTGGGCCAGCCTCTCCCGTGGTGCATAAACAAAATGGATGATTTCATTTGAAAAAAAAAAGTTGTTTGAAACATCATCATATCTGCTAAATTTTTCTGCTATAATCCGACATTTTTCAGAATTCTGCTAAAATCTGATAAAAATACCCACCGTGCTTTATTTTCTGTCAAAAGTATTTCTATTTTCTCTCAAAGGTATTTCTTTTCGAAAAAAAATCTGTGCAGTTTCGCCGAAAATTTACTCAAAGCTTCCTCCTAGTCCAAGATATACGCCAAGTGGTTCCTTGGAAGAAGCACAAGAGGGCGCTATTACTTTACAATTTCAGACCTGCAGACTGGGAATCGTGAAGTACCGGTGTGTTCCTTCCTCCATGGTACATGTAGGTCAAGAGAATTCGTCTAAAATCCCGCCAAGTTAAAACGCATAGCTTAACTCTAGTCTCCAGATGGATTGAGAAGAGAGCAGCACTGAAACTAAAAGGTGAGTGTTTGTGAATAAATTTCTGGCAATGTCACAGCCTACAAAAATATATTGATACGAGCCCAGGCATGCCAGGTGTAGTCCGAGTATTTCCGGAATAAGAGTACCCTAGATAGCCGTGTACAAACTCCCATAAACACTTTTTGGCTGTTTTGATTGTGCCAACTTACCCTTCCATAACAGCTATATGTGCAACCAACTTTCGTACATGCCTTCTTGGTGAAGTTAGATGTCAGCTTGGGCGGTTTACTCACCTTATATCCTCATTTAAATGGTGAAATTCATGAGCATTTTGCCCATCCACACAACAGAAAATCAGCAGCATGTACGCGATACATGTACTCTCAATAACTGTCAGCTTTGCGATAGCTTGACCAATCACAACAAAGCTCAAATCTTTTCGTTTTGTTTTCCTGACCGTGACACCACTCAAATGAAAGCTGAGCTATGATTGGTCATTTGAATGGAAGCAAATTGGACCAGTCACTGTCAGTGTAGCTTTCATCTGTGGGTGATAGGAAAACAAACAGAAAAGATAGGAAATGTGTTGTGATTGGTCAAGCTATCACACAGCTGACAGTCATTGAGAGTACATGATGCTGATTTTGTGTATTGTGGATGGGCAAAATGCTCAAGAATGTCACCATTTTAATGAGGATATAAGGTGAATAAACCTCCCCACCCGACATCTAATCTCACCAAGAAGGCATGTACATGTACTGTATGAAATTTGGTTGCACATATAGCTGTGATGGAAGGGTAAGTTGGCACTACCAAAACAGCCAAAATGTGTTTATGGGAGTTTGTACACCTATCTTTATGGTTTGTATAAACCTTACAGTTCTCGAAGTATAGTCCAAGTAATTTCAGACTTCTTGGACCCTACAAATCGCCTTTTTTAATCCTCCTAATTAACTAAGGATTAAGTGACAATCGGAGATTCCAATAATGATGGTAGGGTTTGCTCATATTTGGGGAGAAAAGAGAAATTTCCCCTTCAAATTGGAAACAGCCTTGTCGTCAAGTACAATATCATCATGTTGTTCTTCCCAAATGTGAGTAAACCTCCTGATTCTCACTTAATCCTTAGCTGGGCGCATTAGACAGTTGAAGGATCATTTTGGAGGTGAATTGGGAGGATTTCGGTTCGGGGTACAAGCTATTTTGAGTGAAATGAATAAACCCTACCCGCCAAGCATATTGTTTGGCTTTAAGTACTCGGTACTACAAAATACTAAGTAATAGTCTGAGCCTGAAGGACCTAGCGCTACAAATTACTACTTTTGGCTAGGGCACCCTCCATTGTTACTCGTACAGAGAACAATAAAGCCATGCATTCATAGTGTCACAGCACTGTATGGTACAATGTCTTGTCTATTGTATGTTATGGCTTCAGAGAACAATACGGTCATGTCCTCTTACAAGCGACAGGGCTGATAACTACATTTTACTACAACTAGTAATTTGTAGTATTATGTATGTAGGGTTAGCCTTAATAGAAGCAAAAGCCTATGGAAGGTACTTGGACCTTACTATCGCCCAACCATGTCCAAATGTTAAAAAAGGTAATTTGTAGGGTCCAAGCTACTCGGACCAGCCAAGATGGACTTCCTGAGCTGACCACAGGCCTACATACATGTAGGGCCTACGCCATAATTCAATGGAGACTGACCGTCCAACCTACCCAACTGTGGAGTTTCCACAGTTGGGTTTAAAGTAATGTATAGTCTATCATTTGCAATTTTCCAGCAAGTAACTGATGAAGTTGTTGAAAAGCATACTTGGTTCACTTGGTTATGAGATCAAAATTCTACTCCCAGTGACATTCTTCTTTCTGACAAGCTGCTATTTTGAAGAAAACAGTGAAAGAAGGCCAATTCGGACAATGCATCTAAAGGTGCATTTATGAAAAATGCCATTACCTGCATACCTAAGTGTTGACATGACTCATACACACATGTGGTTACTGCGATTCATCGGTTCAGTGCAGGACATACATGTACATGTAGTGAGATGTAACTGAATTTTACTGATCATGAGAATGTGTCTCAGATACTAAATTTAGGTACAAATATAAAAATGACTCAGCAATTTTTGATCTGAAATCAAAATCCTGACAGACATTGCTTTTCTTGGAATACATGTACATGTACATGTAGATACAAACAGTACAGTAGTCACTGCACATATCAGGTGTGTTAGGCACACATGTACTTCTTTAGATTTTGAGTAATTGAGTCTTGCCTCAAAGGAACATAATTACATGTACAAACAACAAATGATGGAATGTACCTACAGTATAAAGTGTATTCATAAATACCTGGGACAGTTTTTCTATTTCTATTGGTCAAAAAGCAGCATGTGACCGAGTATTAGCATTTGATAATGCCCACTACATCAATCACACTCTGGCACATACTCTAGATACGATACCATATAATCGGGTCTGATTGGTCAGAAATCTGTGTGCACACGATGTGCCACGCGCACACAAAGTTTACTGAAGGGGATTCTATGGGACAACTTTCAAAAGGAATATACCATAAAATGGACAGGGGTGTTCGGGAAAATAAAAGTAAAACTTTAGAATAAAATCGTTGGAAATCCATCCTACCAGAATGTTGACTGTGATGACATCCTGGGACAGACATAAGAAAGACACAGTGTCCAGACACTCAC